CCGAGGCACCAGGGCACCCTCCTGTGTGCTCCCCACCGCAGTGCTGGGGAAGAGGGGAGCACCCTGTCCTGCCCTCGAAGGGGCTGGAGCTGCGGAGCCGTGTCCCCAACCCATGCGGGCGCGGCCTCGCACACAGCCTTCCTCTCCTCCCTCCCCTCCCTCCCCTCTGCTGCCATCCCTGCCGCTCCTTGCTCCCTGCCCGCAGCGCTGCCTCGCCCGGGTCCCTCGCTGGGGAACTCTAAACACAGCCACGTGCGTAACCACGGGGCTAGGGACAAGCTGCAAGCACAGCCCGGAGGACACGGCCTGGGTGAACAAGCTGCCGAGAGCATCCCCAAGGGCAAAGGGCGACAATACCCCAATGATTTTGGCATCAGCAGCCAGGGCTGTATGACAGGCAGAGCCTGCCCCCGAGCATCTCACCCCCTCTCTGTCCCTTCCCTGCCCCAGCTGGGGTATGAGGAGCTGGCCCCAGGCCAGACAGGCACTTTCTCACCCTTCTAATCTCTAATTAAACGTTTCAGGAGGCTCTTGCCCATAATGAAAGGGAGCTGTGTTCTGCAATGTGTCACCAGCATGGCCAGGTCCCTGCCCCTGCCCCGGGACCTGGCAGTGACAGTGCAGCCACCCCAACCTGCCACCCCGAGGTATACACCGTAGGGTGCCAGCATAGGGGGCTGCAAGAGAAATCCTGACCTGCCCTGTTATCCTGTGGCTTGGTGGTCCCCAGGGGCACAGGGAAGTCAGGAGCACAATCTCAGCCTTTGCAGCCTCCTCCTGGTCTGTGCTGAGACCTGCAGCTCTCACCACATGTTCCTCAGATGTGGCCCTGGACAAAGCCAGTTGCCCTACACGTGGCCAGCACGCTGCCACCCCTGAGCCCACAGGCATCCCACTGTGCCAGGGCTGGGCCGAGCTTCAGCTGCCTGTGGGATGATGCCATGTAGCAGGTCTCAGCTCTGCGACCGTGTTGCAGGGCCAGGAGTGACCCAGTGCCACCATGGCAGGAGGGGTGTCACCCATGGGCACATCCACACCCCTCACAGCCCACCCAGCCCAATCAGCCCCTTCGGGCTTTGCCCACCTTGCTGGAAGAGTCTGGGCACTGCCAGCATCCCCAAGGCCTGGGTAACATCCACCCTCCTTCCGCAGCTACGGGAAGCATGTCCAGCACTTCAAGGTGCACAGGGAGAAGAATGGCAGATATTTCCTCTGGGAGGAAAAGTTTAACTCCCTCAATGAGCTGGTGAATTTCTACAGGACAACAACAATCGCCAGAGAGAAGCAGATCTTCCTCTGGGATGAGGACCAGACCCGGGAGGTACTGTCATGGATGAGGACATGGGGACACACAGAGCTGGGGTGTGGGGTGGTGGTATGGCTGATCCCAAACCCCTGCATGAGCCCCCTCGATGTTCAGTGTCCCTGTAGAGGGGGACAGGGACATCCCAAGTGCCTGGGTGGCACTTGGCCCTTGGCTCGATGTGGTGTGGAGCAAGAGAGGGTACAGCAGCCTGAGACAGGCAGCGCTGC